GCCGGCCCGGCCTCCACTCAGCTTCCGGCCGCACCCGGACGCCTTTCGGCGGGACACTGGCCGCTTCCGGCGGCGGCGGCGCGGCTTCCGGTCGCTGCACGGACGAGCGGGGCTCAGACCATGGCGCGGAAGAAGGTGCGGCCGCGGCTCATCGCCGAGCTGGCCCGTCGCGTGCGGGCCCTGCGGGAGCAGCGAAACCGGCCGCGCGACTCGCAGCGCTATGCCCTGGACTACGAGACGCTGACGCGGCCGTACTCGGGCCGCCGGCTGCCGGTCCGCGCCTGGGCCGATGTGCGCCGGGAGAGCAGCCTCTTGCAGCTGCTCAGCCGCCTGCCGCTCTTCGGCCTGGGCCGCTTGGTCACGCGCAAGTCCTGGCTGTGGCAGCACGACGAGCCGTGCTACTGGCGCCTGACGCGCGTGCGGCCCGACTACACGGCGCAGGTGCGTGCGCGTGGGTTCCCGGCGCCCCGGCCTCGGGGAGGGGGCGAGCGCGCGCTCCGAGCCGACGCTCTGTGCGCTTGCTTTGCAGAACCTGGAGCACGGGAAGGCTTGGGGCGTGCTGACCTTCAAAGGTGAGGCGCTGGGGACCGGGCGGGGGCCCCCGGCTGCCGGTCACAGCCTGCCCCGCGAATGCATGTGCGCTCAGCCCCGGCCTTCTTTCCCAGGACGGACGGAGAGCGAGGCCCGGGAGATCGGGCAGGTCATGTACCACGACTGGCGGCTGGTGCCCAAGCACGAGGAGGCGGCCTTCACCGCGTTCACGCCCGCGCCGCCCGAGGACACTCCGCGCTGCGTGCCCTACCCGCCGCTCATCCGGGCCATGATTCTAGCAGAGCGGCAGAAAAAGGGGGACTCCAGCACCGAGGAGCCCATGCTGAATCTGGAGCGGACCCGAGTGGATCCCTGGGACTACCCTGCGAGACAGGAGGCGAAGAAAAAGGCCAAGGCCACGCCAGTCTAAGTGCCAGCACTGGGTTGCTGCGGAACAGGTGTCTGGCGCTGGGCCCCGGTTTGTGAATGAAGACGCCTTTGGGCTGCAGCTGGGACAGCCCCCCCGGGAGCGTGGAGCCAGGCCCTGCCTTTGCTCTGGGCGAGCTGGCCGCCAGGGGGAAGCGGGAGGCGGCGGGGCTGGCAGCGCGGAGCCCCAGCGCCCGCGCGGGTCGCTTCCCCCCTACGTGCGGCCCTTGCCGGACTCAGCCGGGAACCGTTTGCGCGCGAATAAAGGCAGAACCAGTGCCCTGGGTTTTGGTTTTTTTGTTTGGGGTTGGGCAGCCACAGCAGGTTGTGGGCAGGGCTGGGGAGGAAAAGCCGACCGTGTTGGGCGCCCGGCCCCGCGGTGCCCGAGGAATGGGGATCCCTGGGCAGCTGCCGCCCGGCCCCTTTAAGCGCAGGCCCCTCCTGGCCGCCGCCGCCGCCGCCGCCGCCATCGCCATCATGCTGTGCCTGCTGCTGACCGTGCTCGCCCATCTCTTCCCGGCGGGTGAGCGGCGCGGGCCGGGGTGGGGGTGGGGGAGCGGGAGCGGCCGGGCCTGACGCGCCCCAACCCCGCGGGCCCCCGCAGCCTGCGGCGGCGTGCACGAGCGCACCTTCGTGGCCGTGAAGCCCGATGGCGTGCAGCGGCGGCTCGTGGGCGAGATCGTGCGGCGCTTCGAGCGCAAGGGCTTCAAGCTGGTGGCGCTGA